TTGCGTTTTTGGTTAAATACTTTGAGTTTGCAATTTTGTTTTATTGTACTTACTTTATTATTTTGTAATGAACGGATGCTAAAGTTTGTTTTTGTGAAGGGCTGTCTAAATAGCCCTGAGGGCTCTCAGAAAAAGTTTTATAACTGTTCCTTTGGATGGAAAGCCGTCGCAGAGCCTGGTTGAAGCGGCAAGACAACAATATGTCAGCAAAAGTACGAGATTCTGCTGTGAAGATCATTTTAACGTAAGTTCCTTAAGTTTTGTTTTACAATTAATTTTATATCTACTTTAAAATATATTTAGAAAATGGTTTTTATTTACCTTTGTACCTGGTGATGGCAAACCGTGACACTTTTGATAGGTGACGTCAGAGATTGCAAAGTGTAGGGTTGAAATTCTTAATATTGATTAATTTTTTTTAAAAATGGGATGAAATTGAAGTAAAAAAATACGAGTGTCATAAAATTGTATGAAGATTAATTATTTGCAATAAAAAAATTCTGGTTAAACTCCGGATTATAATTTCCAAAGAAGGTTTGGAAATTTAGGCTGAGTAAACTTTGAAATCAGAATGTTGCCGATAAGAATACATTTGAATTTAGTTATGTACTTGAAAAATGGGAATTAAAAATAGTTTAAAAAAAAACGGCGTCAGCGATAGCTATGAAATGAAGATCGCTGTCATTTTATATGTAAAATCGCATGTAAAATTACATGGGGAATGTCATCAATGTTCATTTTCAAGCCAACTGGGCGCCATCATATGGTTTTACGCCTGCGGCGCTTTTTTACTCTCTAGGCCTCTATTTTTTATTTTGAAAGTTGGCAACCCTACTTTAAACTCCTGTAGTTACAAAACAAAACAGAATCGGACCTATGGTTATCGCAAAATAATTAACTTTGAGCGACAAGCGATGGCGACAGCGCTGCCAGATTGTGATGGATTTATGAGACGAATCTTAAGAGTTTTACGTTTTATTTTTAATTTAATAACTAATATTTTCAACGGCCAGGTCGTTGCGACCTGGTCGTCAGTGAGTTCGAGCCCTAAGGAGTTCAGCCACCTATGTCTGGAGACCTATTTTCCAGAAATTGTAATATACAGGGTGGCGCCTCTCATACGCCGCGGAAGCTCCAAGGAGAACGGTAGTTTATATCGAAATTAAATTTTAGCAGCGTATGTAGGTTAACTGAAAGCATTTTATAAAAATATATAGAATTATACAGGGTGCCTCCAAAAAAGTTACACATCAAAGTTGCGTTTTTTCTAATATATATACACCCTATATATTAATTTATTTTCTGATTCTAGGAAAAAAATAACGGTAAATTTTATTAAAGAAGCATATACCTAAAATCTAAGGATATTTCATATTTTGTGAAAATGAAGAGTAAATTTTAAATTTCGATAACAGCTACCTAAATTTTAGTTGACCTGGTATAGCCTGATATTTAATTACAGTAACCATTGTATGTCAAATCAAATTGAAATTTGACCCGAAAAGTTATACAGGGTGAGTCAAAATTAATATGGAACATTAGTCACTTTGAAAAGCAAGTTACATCTTTATTTTAAACGGAACACCCAGTATATTTTTCAGGTGTTCAATGGGAATTTGTATATCTTCAAAATATTATTAAGGTTACCTACCCCTCAGACAAAGATTTTCCTAGATATTTTAATTTTTATGATTTTGCGTCAGTAGATCTTTAATATTTGAAAAAATCTAGGGTGGCTGTGTGATATACCTTTCATTAATTTAACAAAAATTAAAGATTGTAGAGTAATATACTCAACGGTAATAAAAAGATACGCGTTTAAAACATATTTTAATTATTACAGAATTAAAACTAGATATAAACCTATAATTATGTGACAAAAATTAGCTAGATGAAATGAAATGCTCAATATGCTTAATTTTCTGTTAACTGCATAAAATGATTGTCTTTTCAAAAGGATCTTTTCATTTTAAAAGGCATTATGTGCAGTTCTACCTCGAAAAGCAGCTACAATAATTTCTCTCATGTTGTCGACAACAGTTGGTCGAGTTTTGTAAACAACTGTGTTTAACATATTCCCATAAAAAAACCCAGACTAGATAAAATCAGGAGCTATATCAGAGTATTCTATTAATTGGTGAATGCACGCTGCATTCACCATCAATTCTCTCTGATGTAGGATAAGTTTCCATTTAGGGCAAATTTCTTTGAATTTTTTTTGTTCTAACTGACACAAAATGATAACTAGTTGCTAAAGTTGGACTAATTACACAGCTATGTTGAAGTAACGTACGTTGTAGATCACCAGCCATCTAGATTTTATCAAATAATAATGATCTACTCAGATCAAAGTATGTAAATGAAAATATCTAGGAAAATCTTTGTTTGAGGGGTAAGCAACATAGTATTTTGAAGAGACATGAATTCTCCATTAGATATCGGAATAATAAACTGGGTGCTCCATTTAAAAAATAAAGAGTAACATGCTTTTAAAGGTGACCAATGTTCAATAGTAATTTGTCTCACCCTGTATAACTTTTGGATCACGTTTTAATTTATTTAAAAAAAGTACAATAGTTAATTTAACTACTATTATAGGCTATACCAGGTAAATTCAATTTAGGTGGCTATTGTAGTTTAAAAATTGTTCTATTTTATTTCTAGAAAATCTTAAATATATCAAAAACCTTACATTTTACACATTTAGTCATATACTTTCTTATAAAATACGTTTTATTTTTCTGCCAGAATCCGAAAATCGAATTATATATAGGGTGTTCCATTACAAAGAACACAACTTACTGATATGTAACTTTTTTGGGGACACTCTGGCAGAACTCTTTATATTTTTAAAAAAGTACTCTGAATTAACCTAGATATGTTCACACCAAATTTCATTTCAATACAAACTGTCGTTCTCCTTGGAGCCTCCGCGGCGTATGAGAGGCGCCACCCTGTACATATATTTTTTTATAAATAGATCATATAATTCTTACATTCTTACATTCAAACAAAATTACGTTGGTTTATTAAGTTGGCCACCATTAGACAGAATCTATTAAATATTAATCTTACCATATCATCAGGTCCTTCACATGAGTGTCTATAAGGTAAACCTTCTGGAACAATTTTGTTTAACATCATCTCCATATCATCTCTATCGGTTTCATTTTGTAAAACTTACTAGTATGAAGAACTAAAATAAGTTATATTAATACGTCTTAAAAACTCTATTACACATACATATTTTACTAAATAAAGAAGCTTACATTTAATATTAAAATTGTCTTATTACCTACTATTAAAAGATACACCAATATCGTGAACAGATAAGCTACAATTCTCAAATTGTTTTAAGTAGCTTACAAAATTATACATATACTACGGTTGACAAACAAAATATTAAGCAAATAAGGATAATCCTAATTAGAACAGTGTTATGTAATTTTACATTCTACATACAACAAAACATAAAAAAATGTAAAATAACAAATGTTGAGGTTTTTGAAAATGTTATAAAAAACTTAAAACTTAATTAATTTATTTTTCAGGAATGTCATTCATAAATTATTCAATTTACAAAAGCAATAATAGAGAGAGCCAAGAAAAAGGGCTATAAAAATGTTCTATTCCCAAAATATGTTTCTTCATTTTATAGTAAAAAATATAATTATATAATCTATTATATCTGTAGTAAAATGAGTTATTAATTGTGAAAAATTAAATAAAACTAACTAGAGCTAGTTCTACAGCAGTAATGTATTACTTTGTAGAAGCATTTTAAATACCAATTAGATGGTTGAGGCATTTTACAAGTGAACGTCAGGCAAAATGTAAATATATTAAAATAAATTTATAAAAATTACAGTTTTTGAAATCTTAATTCGATGATAGAAATGATATTTAATGATTTAGTAGGTCAATCCATATGTTGTATGCCTTGCATGATAAGATATTTAAATTAAAGCGTGAAAATCATGTTTTATATTAACACATTTTGTAATTTTATGAATATAATTCTTGAAAACTTATTGTTATATAATAGAGCCAATTGAATACAAATTAAATTTGATTTATTTATAAAATAGATAAAATGCGGCTATGCAAAGACTATTGATAGAAAAACCACCTATTTTTTCCTAATGTGAGAAAAATGCTGTCAAATGCGAAAAAATCCGACAGCAAAGAGCACTTACTTTGGACGTGACAGAGCCCTATCGCGAACTGCGATAGCTCGGGAATCTGCCTCAAAATCTCCTCGGTCACCAAATGTACGCCCCGGTGTTGGGGCCTCAAATTTATCTTCTTCTGAAACCAGGCCGAATTACTTTGGATAATTCTGGCCGAAGAAGCCATGTTTGACTTGCCACTGCCGCTGTCGGTCGCCAGTTTGAACGTTTTTATCGTCGCGCCGATCACAAACAACCAAAAGCCACTGATACACTTATAAACCGCAGGTCCATTATTATCATGAGCAACTCATTGGCGAATTGTTAATAATATATCTAGAGAAAAACAAAAAAAGTTACAGAACTCTCTCTCCTAACCGCAGTACGAGCGGCTCGTGTCTGACATTTCGGCGGCGATCGGGCGTTTCCGGACGGGCGCGGACCGAGTCGCGCCAATTTCAAATTCTCACCCCGTGCGATCTTCGGTATTTCGAGGGAGACTTTTTAGTTTTAGCGTGCGGAACTGGACTGGATTCGGGGTAGAATGGGGGAGGAATCCCTAGACAGTAAGACCAATCGAAAAACAGATTAGGATCGTTTAATTAATCCGTTTTTCATGTGGCGAGCAAATAATAAAAATGGACGTGGGCGTGTGGCTTAATAATTATGGAATAGGGAGCATTAGGGAGCGGTTGAATAGAATCCAAGGTTCTTTTTATGTTCCTCGGTGCGAGGAAGGGTATTTAACCTAAAGACAGGCGACCCTTTGCGCTTTTAGCGTTTCGTGTACGAGCTAAAACGAAATAATAATAAATAAAGAACATTGGAAAAATGTCTTCGGCTACTTTTGAAGCGAATCCTAACAGCGAAAACGAACCCTGGATCGAAAAGCCCGCTTTTGAGGGGCTCAAGTTTCGTATTTGGCATATTATGTTTTTTTGCGTGTGTGCTTTTGGGGTTTTAGGTGAGTAGACATACATATCCTTAGTGTTCGACGATGAAAACGTAGATTCAAGTGCGATTTATCTGCTTTCATTAATTTTATGTAGAGCAATTAGCTATTTTATTACGGTTTTCAATGTTTCACGCTAATTGCATGTGTGTTTGTCACGCAAACAATTAGCCTAATACTCTATTATGTCTTAAGAATACAGGGTGGTCCGAATTGTATTCCGGAAACTTCGGTAGCAAATTTGCAGATAAAAGTAAAAACTTCGTATAAATGTATGTCATAAATATACCCAGTTTCGAATTACAGGTATAGAAGTTTCAAATTTATTTTAATTTTTTCCAAATAATTTACGAAGTAACGTCAATATTTGGATGAAAGTTAGTGTCTGGGACTATTTGTAAGGGGCGCCACTACATTTTTTTTAGCTGTTTTAAAGTGTAGTAACTTTTTGTCGGGGGCTGTATAAAACCATAGATAAAAGAAAATAATCTACTATTGTATAAAACTAATGAGTGAAAAAATCAATCAGTAGGAGTCATATTGACATCAAAATCAAATTTCTCAGGTCAAAAAACTTAAATTCGGGTCAGAATGTCCTACGACGTTGTCCGATGCCTAACTTCCACCCTGTGCGATTTTCCCATTGATCTTCGGTCAGATTTTTCTCGCTCATCGACCTTCTTATTCCTTCCATCCATGTTTTCTTGGGACGTCCTCTCTTTCGTTTACCAGGTGGTATCCAATGAATGACTTGTTTTGGAATTCTTTCATTGTGCATTCTCTGAACGTGGCCGTACCATATTAATTGTTTTTGTTCTATATCATTTACTATTGTTCCCTCTATTCCCATCTGTTGTCTAATGTCTTCATTTCTGATCTTATCCCTCCGTGAAATTCTCATTGGTCTTCTAATCGAACCAATTTCTGTTGTCTCTAATTTCCTTTTATTCCTTTCAGTGAGTCGCCATGTTTCACATCCATAGAGTAATATGCTTTTAACTAGTGTCTCATATATATTATATTTCCTGTTTTTTGTAATTTCAGTGCTCCATAGAATGCCATTTAAAACATTTATGCATCTGATAACTCTTCGTGCCTGTATTACTCTGTTGTTTATTTCTCTATCGTCCGTTTCATCTCCTGTAAATATCGATCCCAGGTACCTGTAATCTTCACATGCCCTAATTTCCATATTATTATCTAAAATAAGATTTTCTGTATTAGCTCCAATTGGAAGGTATTTTGTTTTTTTCTGTATTTACTGTGAGACCCCATTTAGCATATTCTTCAATTATTTTCCGCACCATATAATCCATGTCATCTTTGTCGTTTGCAATTATAGCCTGGTCGTCTGCAAATTGCAAGGTGTATAGGCATATGTCATTTTAGTTCTATACCCATTCTGTTACATTTTCTTTTCCACAGATGTAAGGCCTTGGCAATGTAAATTTTAAATAGTGTAGGGGATATGCAGCAACCCTGTCGGAGCCCTTTAGTGATTGAAATTTCCTCTGAGAGACCGTTGACCGTTTTATTTGTGATTTTCCTCCATGGTAAAGATTTTGTACAGCTTTTATCAGAGCTGCGTTAATTCTTGATTCGTGCAATACTTCCCATATAATTTATTATTGGCACTGTATCATATGCTTTTGTAGATCGGTGAATGTTATATGAACTTCCTGGTTCATTGCATTTCTTCTCGATGATCTGTTTCAATGCAAAAATATTATCTGTACATGATCTTCTGCTTCTGAAACCATTCTGCTCTTCTTCTTCGTGGCTGGAGTATTCCTCTTCAATTAAGTTCCACAGTATCCTTCCATAGAGGCGACTCATAGTGCTGGTAACCGAAATTCCCCTGTAGTTATTGGGATCCTTCCTTGAGCCCTTTTTATATATAGAGAGATATATGCTTTTTCCACTGTTCAGGTACTGGATGACCATTTAAGCACTGGTTAACTATGTTTGTTAACATTCTAAACAGTTTTTTGCTTCCAGATTTTATGAGTTCAGCATATGCTCCCTCTGGGCCACATGCTCTTCCATTTTTTAAAGACATTATAGCGGTCTTTATTTTGTTGGTATCCACGTAGATTTCCTCTCCTTCAATGTTTTTTCTGGCTGTGGCGGTTCTTGATACTCAGGTCTATTCTCTGACAACAATTTGGAATAATATTTCACCCATTCTTTGTTGGTTATAGGGGCTGACTCCTGTTTTTGTGGTTTTATAAATCATACTTCCGTATTCCTTCTTCCGCCTATATACGTATTAGGTGCTTTTTTCATGTATTTGCTATAGAAGTGACTCCATAAAAAGTTGGTAAACTGAAATTCCCCTGTAGTTACTGGGATCCTTCCCTTTGTTCCCTTTATATATAGAGAGACATGTTTTTTCCACTGTTCAGGTACTAGATGACCATTTAAGCACTGGTTAACTATGTTTGTTAACATTCTAAACAGTTTTTGTTTCCAGATTTTATGAGTTCCGCATATACCCCCTCTGGGCCACATGCTCTTCCATTCTTTAAAGACATTATAGCGGTCTCTATTTTGTTGGTATCCACGTAGATTTCCTCTCCTTCAATGTTTATTTCTGGCTGTGGCGGTTCTTGATACTCAGGTCTGTTCTCTGACAACCTTTGTTGGTTATAGGCTGACTACTGTTTTTCAGTTGTTGTGGTTTTTATAAATCTCCATACTTCCGTATTCCTACTTCCGCCTATATACGTATTAATTTCTTTGCATTTTTCATCCCACACTTTATTCTTTTCTTCTTTTACCATTCTCCTCACCTCATTTTCCTTGTCATTATAAGTGCGCTTGTCTAGTTAAGATTTCGAATTTAGCCATTTCAAATACAGTATCTTTTTTCCTCTACAAGTTTTTCAAGTTCATCAGTCCACCACAACTTTCTGCTCTTTCGTCTCGCTTTTATTTCTAATGCTTCCTCTGCGGCTTCATGAATACTGTCAATTATATTATTGTGTGTTAGGTGAAAAGGCCTTTCTGAATCTTCTATAAGTTTTTCATCAAGCCTGTTCTGATAAAGATATTTGACGCTGTCATGCATTAGACTTTCTAAATTATATCTAACTGTGGTAATTGGCTCTGGGTTCCTGTTTCCTCTTGGTTGTTTTGTTTAATTTGATATGGTGGAAAGAGAATTTTTGATCTTAAAAGGTAATGATCTGAGTGGTGTCCGGTGCCCCTTAGGATTCTTACATCATTAATTTCATGTTGTTATTACTTTGTTTTGTAATTATATAATCTATTATTGGTTTCTGTGGGTCATGTTGGTTGAATCCAAGTATATTTATGAATTTGTTTATCTTTAAAGAAACCATTTTATTGTTAAGTTGTTATACTCGAATATGTCAATAAGCCTATACTGTCATTGATATTTTCTCTCCGTAAGGGCCTAAGGATTTTTGTATTATTATTTTCTTTCTGCCTGTCTGGCTATTAAAGTCACCCAGCAAAACTAAATCTCTCGTATTTCCAATGTCACTAATTATCTCATGGAATTTAGTGAACTGGTCCTTAATTACTACAGTTTCGTCATCGGATGGAGCATATACACCTAATATTGTTAATCTCACATTTCTAAGTTTTAAATTTAATCTGATAATATTTTCATCTATACCTTCCCAATCTGTAATATTTTTCTTAAACTTGTTCTTCATAAGTACAGAAACACCTATTTTAGCACGTTGATCTTTGGGCACTCCGCTATAATAATGAAGATAGTTTCCTATTATTTCAGACCCACTACCTTTCTTTTTGGTTTCTGTTAATGTAATTATATCTGAATTTAATTTTTCTTAAATCTTTAATTATAATTTCACGTTTATTAAGTCTTGTACATCTTAATGTCAAAAATTTCCTAGACACCAATTTTCATCTAAATATTGACGTTACTTCAGAAATTACTTGGAAAAAATCGAAATAAAAATGAAACTTCTACACCCTGTATCTCCGAAACTAAGCATTTTAGGACATATATTTATACGCACTTTTTTACTTATTTTTATCTGCAAAATATGCTGCCGAAGTTACCGGAATACAGTTCGGACCACCCTGTATATGGTGACCCAAGTTTTTATAAAGACTTTTAAAGACGATCGACGATGGAATAGTCGATAATACACTTACTTAACTAATTTATTAAACAATGAGAAACCAAAAATTTACTAGTTCGATAATACAAAAATACATCCTTAGATTGTTATGCCTCCATAGATTATTGTCAGTGCTTTGTCAATATTTAACCCAATTTACGGATTTTAGGGAGGGCCCAAAAAAAAAGTCACGTAGAATATGCTTTTTAAAACGCCATTTTTAAAACAGAACTAAATAAATTTTTTGCTGTTTTAAAATGTTAGAAGCACAGAATTTATTAGAGCACATAATATTAAAGGTTATGGGGAAATGTGATACTTTAACAGGGCAAAAAATACCGTATGTTCGAAAAAAAACGGCGTCAGCGATGGCTATGAAATGAAGATCGTTGTCATTTTATGTGTAAATTTATATGGGAAATGCCGTAGTTTTTCGATCACACGGTATGACGTTAATCAAAATTAATAATAACCATCTATGACCATCTATCAAAGAATGAAATCGAAATTGTATTACAATAGAAACGCTTTTTTATTTTTAGGGCTTAAAAAAAATTAACCATATTTTCATATTTTTTCTAATTTTCCCTAAAATGGTTTGGGAATTTGGAAAAGTATAAACGGGATTAGGTAACCATTTTACAAGCAAATTTTTTTATGAAGAATGCGTTTTTCTCAAAATGTCAGTAATAAACGCATTCGTCATAAACGTTTTTCTCATGTCAATAATAAAAAAGTTTTTCTTTTTGTAAAGACAACCCGGAGACATACTGTAGATACAGCGAAGTAATAATGTATAGTTTGTATTTTTGTATTTTTTATAGTTGTGCTGATTTGTTGTTGCGTCAGGATCAGGATACCCCGGACGAAGCAAGAGATCGAAGCTGACTACAAGCGAAAAAAAATCACGACAAAATTTCGAAAAAGACTGAAATTCATCAGTAACCAAGAAATGGAGGCTATAAACCTTCAAAAAGGTACAATGGATGTGTAGTAAATGTGAGAATGGCCTTTAGAAACAAATCTTATATTTTTATTATACCGTATGATGAAAAAAACGGCGTCAAATGACCATTTAATTTTACATATAATTTGACAGTAATTTTCAGTTTCCAGCCAACTGCGACGCCGTTTTTTTTCAGTCATATGGTACAATTAAATATTAGGATTTTTATTTATTCCTTAGGGCTTGTTCTAGAAAGTAAGTATATACCATGTATATTTAACCAATTCTTGGAATATCTAATGAAATTTCCGTTCAAAATAGAGGCGGGTTATTTTGTGAACCAACTATTCCAATGAACTATTCCGATCCTGGAATGAAAGGAACTAGTTCCCGGTTTCTCAAAGAACTAGTTCCTCAGGACCTATTCCGGGATCGAGACTGTGACCGATATATATTATGATATGATATTATGCGACTGCGACGGATCGGCCAACGCGATCGTAGCCCGATGCTAAGCAGGAGTGGGGAGTGCAAGCCGTTTGTTATTAGATCCGGACCTAGAGGAACTAGAGGAACTAATTAAAAGACTAGTTCCTAGTTCACGGGAATCTATTCAGGCAGCAGATCCGAGATATAATACAAGGCGATGGCGGCGGTGGATTCGGCCTTGTCTATTGCCAGAGCCGGCGTAATTACCACAAAAAGTTGTCGTGGATACTGTTTTTGATTTTTAGTTTGTTATTTGAATATTTTATGGGAATGTTTCAATTTAGGGCTCTAAAATTAAGAAATATCTTATAAAACAAAGTATATATTCTGAATTTCTAGACAAAAACAAAAAGCATGAAGTGAAACTTACCTATATGTTTTTAACATACGCAATTATTACACGTCTTGTATTATTGTACATTATAAACAGTATACAGATATACTGCGAATAGTTCTGACTGACAACGAAACCCATTAGAAAGCAACGAGGATGTCAATGTTAGTCGGGAACTATTGTGAACTTAAGACCTAGTTCAAGGAACTATTCCTCTAGAGAAACTAGAACTAAGGAACTAAATTCCCACCTCTAGTTCAAAATGTATAAAACCGTTCGGAGAATAATTATTCCGAATTTATGCTTGTTTTGTAGAATCAGCCCTTAGACTAAGAATAAAGAAATATTACGTTCATTATTTTATTTTCTAATTAGTGGTGTACTCAGGTATATGGAATTATTATTCAAACCTTACTTCTTTCTGATTTTTTTAGCTCTAGAAATAATAATAGAAGCAGACTACAAACCTGAGGATGATGCTGATGTGTTTGTAAATCCCAATGCAACAGAAAATCAACACTTAGTGCCTTCAAGTACGACAAACTTCGGTGATAAAGTTTCAAAAGTTATTTCTATGGGAAGGATTTTGAAAAGCCAGAATATCAAATACTAGGAATAATCTATGTTATTATTAGGATTAAATTAGGGTGTTTATTAAATATTAATAGAAATAGAATAATTGAAAGTACTTATTTTTTGTATTTCTCAGTAGTATTCAAATACCACAGCGATTTTTTACTCATTTTCGACGATTTGTAACTTTGAAAAAAATGTACCGATTTTGTTGATTTTTTAGCATATTAGAGATCGTTTTTAGTAGATTGATCTGATTTTTCTAAATTTTGTATGAGATTTAGTTTTCTATGATACACAGGGTGTGAAAAAAAGGAATGTAATTTTTGTGTTGCTGCCATTTTGCCAAAAAAAAAAAATAAGCTAAGACTAATATCTCGGGACGTATTTGGAATTTTTAGGATAACTCATCTGGAATAAAAGATAATCAATAAGAAATATGCTTAACAAACTGAAATTAACTTAAAATTGTAGGATATTCTTACTTTTTACAACGTGAATAAAAAAATTATTTAACTAAAGCAGTTTAATACAGGATCTCTTAAAAATACGACCAGCGAAAAAGTATAAATTATTTTTTTAATATTCTGAACTTAACAGCCCACAAGGTTAATATAAAAGCTCGACACATATTTGATATTTTTGTAAAAACTCTTTTTGTGTCTAAAAATCTGTAGTTTAGCTGCAACTTAAAGTGCTTAAAAACAAGAGCGAGCAAGAATTTTTGAATGTGGAAGAATTGGCGATTGCCTATCAGGGACGAATGGGAATCTATTCCCCAGGATTTTATCAGGAACTTGGTGGATAGCATGCCTAGAAGAACAGTCGAACTTCTGCGGATAAAACTCACATTCACTTTTTATGTAACATGTTCCAACATTCTAAAGTTAACTTCAGTTTTGTTAGCATATTTCTTAAGAAAGGTAGAAAAAATACAAGTTAGAGTAAAAATTCATTATCTTTTATTCCAGATGAGTTATCGTAAACATTCCAAATACGTCCCGAGATTTATTTATTTATTATTATACGTCCCCATTAGTCTTAGCTATACCCAGAACTTATAATTCTAGTTATTTTTTTTTTTGGCAAAATGGCAGCAACACAAAAATTACATTCCTTTTTTTCACGCCCTGTATATCATAGAAAACTAAATCTCATACAAAATTTAGAAAAGTCAGATCAATCTACGAAAAACGATCTTTAATATGCTAAAAAAAATAACAAAATCGGTTCATTTTTTTCAAAGTTACAACTCGTTGAAAATGAGTAAAAAAATCGCTGTGGTATTTAATTTGACAGGCAGTTTAGTTGAAGCTGGCGCATCTGCCACGACATCTGGAAAAAAATACTTATTTTTTTTAAATTAAACAAAAAACAAAAAATCCGGCGACGACAGTTTTTAGAAGAGCCAATTAACTATTTTTTAGTAAAAAAAGTAACTTTCTAGAGCAAGTCGTTACTTCAGTAGAGACGACACAGATAAACATTAGCATTTTATATATGTAAATAATATAGAAATAAGAAATATACATCTGTTTGGTATTGGAAAAAAGTGCTAAAGATTGAAAAAATTTAAAAAAAACACCTATTTAATAGTAAATTGATGCTAGGGTGTGAAAACTAGAGCATGCAATTTTATCTTAAATCTATATATTTAGTTTTGATAAAAAAGTTTTAGTGGGTATATTTATATAAAATAGATTATTTAATTTACCAAATTAAATTTAGAGGTTTCGATATATCAAAATAGTTGTAACAAGTATGGACAAATCCCTCTGCATAATCTTTTGGTATATGATATATTATTTCTAATATGTGGGTCTTTGATAAGGTGAGTAATATACTTGTATCTGAATTTTTAAAGTAGCTCAACCTAAGACGTTTATGGATGTAAAGCACCAGATGGCGGGGCGTATTTCACAGTCTTTTACTACAGAAAAATATTTTTTGCTACTTTGAATTTTGAAGCGACCAATAAAAACAGAGAAAATAAAAATCGATAATTTTCGCACTGTGCCAATTGGTTACTAATCGACCAGATACTTTTTGTCTATTAGATATGCTATAAAAGCTGGTAATTATACAATTCGACCATTGTAAATACCCGACAAATTCGTCAAGGCCGACGAGGCCGATGCTTTTCACTGATAAGAAAAAAAAATGTTTCTTTAGATAATTTTCGAGATATTTTTTCTTTCTGAATGCACATTTTTAAAGTATTTTATATTCTTTGTCCGCTTGATCTACTATACTGGTCGCACGTATCTAAGTTCTGTTTCTTCTAGTTTTAAAAAATGTTCTTACTACTTTGTAGTTGTAGTGGTTGTAATGTAAAATTAGATTAATTTTATTAAGTTTAATTATAATGTTTAGTTTAGAATACCAGAAATAGTTTAGTAGTGTTTTTATAGTTTATTATTTTGTAGTTAAGTAGTAGGTGAAGGGATACTTTGATTATTTTTTCTTTTTGTTTGATTAATTAGTAAGTTTGATAATTTTTTCAGTGTAGAATACAAGAAGTAGTTGTGTAGTGTTTTTATAAGAGATTATATTCGTTTATTTTGTAGATGAGTAGTAGGTGAAGGTATTCGGGTATTTTTTCTTTTTCTTTTTCTTCTAATTGTAGTAAGTATATTATGTATTGTGATAGATACACTATATTTTCCATCAACTTCGTTGAAAAGTGCGTTATCATATAATTTTGGTTTTCTGGTAGTAGAATATACGAAAAAAAATCTGATCAAATTTATTTTAAATTAAATTAATCGAGTCTTATTAATCAAATTAATCTAGTCAAATAATAATAATAGTTAGTTTCTAAATACTATACAGGGTGAGTTTCCTACGATGTTTTCTATGGGTATCTCGGAAACTACTGAAGATAGAGAGTCGGTTAAATGGGGAAAGAATTGCAGTTTTGTGGGGTCATAAATATGGGCCTTTCGGATTTTTCGGAGAAGTTCAAGGCTTACTAGATGTTTAAAAAAAAACAAATTTTGCCTATTTTAAAACTTGTCTCTAATTCCATTATAATCTACCGTATGATCGAATAAAAACTGCGTCCACGATGGCTATGAAATGAAGATCGCTGTCATTTTATATGTAAAATTATATGGGAAATATCATCGATCGTCATTTCATAGCCATCGCTGACGTCGCTTTTATTCGATCATACGGTATTTTAGACAAAAGTTTTCAGATAAAAGTTGTAGATAATCACATACCTAATGAGTTTGTGTTTTCTGTTTTTTTTTCTCTAAAGCCTGTCATTTTTGACATATGACACAAACAAATGTTTTTTTAAATGGAAACCATAGTTGGCCATGACTTCATAAAAAGCGCCATTTTTTAAGCTTTTCAGCGATATAGGTATAATATGTTTTTTTCGAAAAATTACATGTTATAGCCAATTCTTTTCATTCTTGGCTAATTTCCTTACCAATTAGTTGCCATCAAAAATGTAAAAAGTTTTATGTTTAAAAAAAAATATCGTAAAATTCGTAAAGCACTCAATTTAGAATAAAATAATCTAAGAATGAAATGATTCTTTTATAAACTTGCATTAAATCAAATTAAAATAGGTATGTAACTTTTTTTTAAATATTAATTAACAGCAATTAGCATTATCATAAACTATAAATAATGTACCAACATATCGAAATAATAATTTCTTTGTTAATACGGTTTAGAATTCTTAAAATAACAGGCAAAAATAATCCACAATTTACAATAAAATAAAAGTTTCGTTTAAACTTCTTAATCAGCTGATATATTAAAGTTCGCAGAAACCCTGACTATATTATTACATTACTCTGAGGAAAATAACGAAAATAATCGATATTTTTGACTCCGCCCCGAAAGGTTCACGATTTGTCCTCCAGTTGGCAGCACATTTTGTCTAGTCGGTTGGGCAACTTTAAGAATATATAAACAAGGGTAATATACAGGGTGGTCCGTTTTTTACGTAAAAAAGGCCTCTTGGTAAAAATCGCTACGAGTAATGGTTCTCGAGATATTTGGAATCGAAATTATCAATACCTGTCATCATTGACAAAAATTAACATGTTGACTAAATAGTTATTAGAGTGAAATCATAAATTTGAAATGTTTTTATGCCAAAAGTTCAACAGAAACGGTTTTACCATCATTTTTTCGCAGAAAAATTTATGATTAATTTAGAAAACTAAAAATTTCCCAAGTTTATTATTTCATTCAAATAACTATCTACTCAACGCGTTTATTTTTTTGTCAATAATGACATATATTCACTATTTCCATTCTAAATATCTTGAGAACGGTTTCTCGTAGAGTCAAAAAAGTCCCAGACACCATCTTTCATCCAAATATTGGCGTTACATCAAAAATTATTTGGAAAAAATCGGAATAAAAATGAAACTTCTACACACTGTATCTCCGAAACTAAACTTTTAGGATAAACATTTATACGATTTTTTTACTTATTTTTATCTGTAGAATATGCTGCCGAAGTTTACGGAATACCCTGTATATGAAAATTTTAAGGTGTCCCGTGTCGATCAGTGTACAAGATGGCGCCTCTCATACGCCGCGGGGGCTCCAAGGAGAACGACAGTTTGTATTGAAATGAAATTTTGTGAGCATATGTAGGTTAATTCAGAGCACTTTTTGCATATGAAATATTTTAAAAAGTACTTAATGAATGAGCGATGAACTTTACTGTATTGTCATTTATAAACAATTCCTTTAAAAATTACCTGTTAAATTTTATTTTAGATACTAAATAAATTGACACATAATTATATGATTTAAATAAAACATGATAGTAGACATGAATTTTATTTATTTCTAAAAAGTACTTTATTAATTGCATTAAAGCGAATAAGGAATATAAAAATAATCAGTAGAAATCTTACATATTAAAGAGCTTAGAAGAATTTCTACTTAGGTATAGAACACGTAAGTGTTCAAATTAAATACATTTTAAACAATAAATATTTTTTTTACGAAAAGAATAAAATAAGTATCTTATTCTTTAAATAATTTACCTTTGGCAATTTTTGTCCAGGTAGATTTTGCTTGATTTGTGCC